ATCTATCTATCTATCTATCTATCTATCTATCTATCTATCTATCTATCCATCTATCTATATATATCAATGTATATGTATGTCAATGTATATCAGTGCTGCTAAATTATTTGAAAGAAAAACATAGGCTAATTGCTAACTCTAGCCCTTAGCACAGAGCCTAGCAAATAGTAGGCATTTAATAAATATTTATCAACTGGTTGACCTAACTTAATCCTGTAATTCAAATATGAGCTACTCCAGTTAAATTCGAGTCCTCCTTCTATCAAGTGTCAAAAGCTACATTGGAGAAACTTGGATTGATCTAGGTACTTTACTGAGATCACATAGTTCTGACTAACAGTTACAAGAATAAATTTTCTGCACAGACCTAGCTCCAATTCAATTTTTCCCTCAGAATACAGCACTTCACATTCAAGAGGGCAAGTTCCTCTTTCCTCTCACCTCTAAGATGCTCATAGGCATAGCTCCTCCCTCACCCCTGCCCCGAAGTTACTGAGTCCTGAATGACGACTTGTTGGCAGTGTGGTAGAGAGAATTCTTGATGAGGTTGATGTTGTACAAGACGGTCTCTGACATCATTACAACTCTGTGACCTTCTTTATTCTCTGATCTATGAACACATCAAGAGGCACTGTAGGTAGAATGTTAAATCTGCCTGAAATACCTGCTAATTATGAAATCCAGGGCAAGTCACTTAGCCTCCCTGTACTTCACGTTTTCTCATCTGCAAAATGGGGATGTGTAGCCCCACAGAGTTGGGAAGATTTAGGTGGTAAAGTGGATGGAGGACTAGGACTGGAGTCAAGAAGACCTAGGTTCAAATCTGGTCTCAGATAATTATGAATTGTGTGACCCTGGGCAAGTCATTTAACATCTGTTTGCCATCTGTAAAATGAGGCTAATAATAGCACCTACCTTTCATTATTATTGGATCAAATGAGAAAATAATTGTAAAATGCTTAGCACAGTGCCTGGCATGTAGTAAGCCCTATATAAATGTTAGCTATACCATTATGTGAAGCACTTCACAAACTTCAAAGTGACATATATATATATATATATTATATATATACACACACACACATATACATACACATATACACACACTATATATATATACACACACATATAACAATATGTAATAATAACTACACTGAGATGTTGTATGATATTAAAAAAATTTATTAAAGTCATTTTCAAGGCCTGGAGTTAGAATGAAAATTGTTGCATCACCTTTCTAGTGATAGAGGAAGGAGGAAGTCAAGGAGGGGTGGTAGTAGGGAAAGGAGCTTAGTTGTCAGCAATGGTCTTTTCAATCCAATCCACATAGTTGCAGACCTTGGTATAGACACCAGGATTGCCTTTCTGGCCACAGCCTATGCCCCATGAAACAATGCCTTGGAGTTGACCTTTGCAGACCACAGGACCACCTGAGTCACCCTGGAATACAATGGGAAAGAAGATCAAAGTTTTCTTTCAGCCTTGAGAGGACAGAGTTTACAGCCAAACATATTGCTCCCTGCATATTTCCTCTCCCTAGCATGTATGCCCATAGAGAACTCAGAAGAGATAAAAGGGATGAGGGAAGGTAGGCTCTTATGTCATATTTTCTGTCCCAGTTCTTTTCCAAAGTATTGCCTACATAATCTCTTCATAAGATGCCCATGTTGAAGAGACACTTTGTGTTGCTATTGTTGAGTAATTTCAGTCATGCCCGACTCTCTGGGATCCCATTTGAGGTATTCAACTGTGGAAATTGTGAGAGGACTTTGTTGCATTGTTTGAACCTAGTCTTGTGTGTCTGGGAAGCTGGACCACCTCTCCCTGCTGCTTAGAGACCCTTAGCTGAGGACCTAGGTTATGCTGACCAGAAACTCAGTCAGGTCTGAAGACTGATGCGAAGAGTTTTCTCAAAATTATATATCTCTAATAACCCACATGTCTTATCTGAAAAGATAAGATAATGGAATGGTTTGCCATTCCTTCTCCAGTTCATGTTACAGATGAGGAAACTGAAGCAAAAAAGGTTAAGTGACTTGCCCAAGGTCACACAGCTAGTAAGTGTATAAGGCTGGATTTGAACTCAGGTCCATCTGATTCCAAGTTTGGCGCTCTATTCACTGCAACATCCAGCTGCCCTGAAGAGACACACATACAGACATTTTTGTATTTCTATTTCTCCTCACCATAAAACCATTTCAGAGGGAACATTCTTAGTTATTCTCTTTCCACACCTCCAGAAGAGCTTTCCATCCCATCATTTAGTTACATCTTCAGAGGGTCCCAGCTAGGAGATGGCTTCCTGCTGGTTCATGGGAGGAGAAATATGGAGAAAAGAAAAAATGGGGGCAGCTAGGTGGTGCAGTGGCCCTAAAGTCAGGAGGACCTGAGTTCAAAACCAGCCTCAGACACATAACACTCACTAGCTGTGGGACTCTGGGCAAGTCACTTAACCCCAATTGCCTCACTAAAAAAAAAAAAAAAAAAAGAAAGAATGGGATTAAGGTAGTGCTGGGGTGGAGTGGGGAGAGGACTGACCTGGCAGGTATCCTTTTTACCTTCCATGAATCCCAGGCAGATCATATTTCTGGTGATCTTACCAGGGTAGGCATCTTGGCAGGTATTGTCAGAGAGCACAGGAATATTCAAGCACTGAAGAATGTTAGGAAAGTTAACTCTTGGGAACATATTCTGTGGTTCTAATTCAGCTAGCCACTCATAGAGACTGATCCGAGTTGTACCCCAGCCAGAGATGAGGCAGTTGGTGCCAGCAGCCACACAGGAAGTGGGCAGGGAGACTGTAGACACATGAGAGTTAAGGGTGGCAGACTTAGTCAGCTTAATCAGCATAATGTCATGGTTGGTATCCCCATCATTATAGCTGGGGTGGCGAATCACCTTAGTAGAGCTGATGATTTGCTCCGTGCCCTCAAGGACGTTCAGGTCGTAGGCACCCAAGATCACCAGCATTCGGCTGGATAAGTGAAAAAAAAAAAAAAGAACATCCCTAGCAACCTGATTTCTGTGCTTTTCCTCCAATCCTTCAAACAGAGAACCAATTATGCCTTGTAACCCCCTCCCCCAACACCATCAGACTCAGGAACATGGATTCCACAGATGGTCATATTAAAGATGGTAAAACCAATATTGCCCCTTCCTGACATTACTGCTTCTCATAGACAGCTGCTATATCAGAGCGCATAAGGCTGGCAATTTTCCCTAGGGAGTGGAAGAAGAAGAGAGAATCAAGGGTATTCATTTATCATTTACCATTTTCCCTATTTAGGGTTATTTTAGGTATGGGGTTGAAGGGCTGTCATCAGGAGAGGAGGTTTCTCTATGTTCTTGGAAATTTTAGACTGAGGGGCTCCTTTGGACATTTTATATTGAAGGACTCTTAATTACAGTGAGTTGTCCTCTCCTCTCCCCCATTTTCAATCATTTGTAAAGTTCTCTCTCCACAGAGCAACTTGACTTATCATCAATCCTGATTACAATCCTCTTCCATTCCTTCTCCAGGATATCCCAGTGCATCAATCCTCTGTGATTTTGGAAATTCTCTCCCCAAAGATCTCTCTCCCTTCCAAGCCAGGGTAACCCCTAAATTTCATGACTCAGATAAATACAGGTACTGGAGTATTTTTTCATTTGAGTTCCCCATATCCTCTTCGTCGAGGAGCTTCAAGGACAATCTCTGGACAATTACCCAAGACTTCAAAAATTCTAGAGGGCACTAAATTTGAAAGCCCAGTGAATTTAGAGGAAGAACTAAAGAATGAAGGGTTGAACTTAGCTAATTCCTTCCTATTGGGGGTTTTGTCCATATCTATATCTACCGTAGGGGCACCTGGCATAGTAGATAGTGAGTCAGCCTCGAGGTTACAAAGTCCCATTTATGACACACACTGTCTATGTGATTTTGGACAAAGCACTTACCTCTCAGAACTCAGGCCACTTTCTAAGATTGTAAGTTTTAAAGAAGGTGGTGACTTTGGTAGAGGGAATGACCTCACCTGTGAGTTCCCTATACCAATAAAAATCATCAAAAATTTCTTATCCTACTTTTTTAAGGCTTCTCTTCCTATCCCTGCTCCTGCTTTGTCTGGACTTTAAAACCATGGCCCTGCTGGACACCTCTCCCCTGCTTTTCAGCTTCCTTTCATGTACTGTCTTTGCAGTCTTCCCTATTAGTCTGTATGATCCTTGAGAAGAGGAACTGTCTTTCTTTATGGATGTATTTCTATCCCCAGCCCTCAGCACAGTGCTTAGCATATGGTAAGTGCTTAATTAAAGCTTGTTTCTAGATACCATAGGCTGCCATCGTCTTGTCTAGGTTAACTTTAATCTGCAATTTCTTCCTTGCCTATGTACATACTGCAGTTTTGAGAGACAAGTACCTTCAAGTGTATTACTCTCTCCTATCTAGGGACTCCTAGGTTCTCAGCCCAGAGTAAGCTCTGGGGAGTTCTAGTAAATCAATTTGTTTTAGGGAGTGATTACGAATCACTTACGAATTGTAGCAGTGAGCGGCTGAAAGTACCCACTGGGCATCAATGAGGGAACCGCCACACATCAAGTTGTCGTTAATTACAAACACCTGGTAGGGTACTGAGCTTTTTTCGCAGTTCTTTCCTCCTATGATCCTTTCAACATTATTACTGGGAAAGGCAACTGAGGGGGAAAAGAAATAGGAATTACTGGTTAAACCAATCTCCCTTGAAATGTTCACTCTTCCACCATACCTTCCAAGGTCAAGCAGAGAAAAGCTAGCTAATAATGTTTCTTTGCCCTATCTAATTGGGACATCAGTGTTCTATGGCTACTTTCTTCAAAGGTGTCTCAATTATATACTTATCTTATCTTCACACCCATGCTATACACATGATGTAAGTACTCTACTGCCCATTCATAGTTATAATTTAGATCAGGTCCACTAATACTATTGTGGGTACATAGCAGTGGCTATTCTGAATTATAGCTCCTGGGATCAGGAGCTGGGTAGACACAATACCTTTTTTTTTTTTGAGGCAATCAGGGTTAAGTGACTTGCTCAGGGTCACACAGCTAGTAAGTGTCATGTGTCTGAGGCCAGATTTGAACTCAGGTCCTCCTGACTCCAAGGCCGCAACTTTATCCGCAGTACCACCTAGCTGCCCTGACACAACACCCTTTGGCAGAACATTCTTGGCAACTTCTAAGTTAAGTAACCTTTAGGTTATTGTTTGGAAACAACTTAAACTTGAAAGATTTTCTCTCTTTATCCCTAAATTTGGAGGTCATGCAAGTATACTCTTTTTTTAAACAAATATTTTATTTTTCCCCAATTACATGTAAAATCAATTTTAACATTCTTTTTGCTTTGTTTTTTTTTCAAATTTTGGGTTTTTAATTCTCTCCCTCACTCCTTTCTCCAACCCCCTCCCCCATTGAGAAGGCAAGCAATTTGACATAGGTTATGATGTATAGTCATCCAAAACACATTTCCATGTAAGTTATTATGTGAAAGAAAACACAGACCAGAAAAAAAAACTCAAGAAAAATAAAGAAAAAATATGCTTCAATCTCATGCAAATATATTCTTAAAAGATTTGGGATGACAGTGGTGGTGGGCAGCGACAAAGATATTAGGTAATTATTCTAGAGCAAAGAAGGGAAGGTGAGTCATCAAGGATAGGGAAGCTTCAGCCAACTGCCAGAGAATGTCACAACATTGGAACTCTGGTTGTCAAATTTCCAATCTTGTCAGAGGTTCATAGTCTTCACAGACATTTTCTCTAGACTTCTCTCAGCCCATCCTTTTCCCTATAGGCATTTATCTGCCTAGCTTTGTGACCCACCTTCCTCCATTGCTATAGAATAATTACCCAATATCATTGCCATTGCCCACCCCAACCCTTACCCCCCCATCCCCTACCCACAGCCATTGCCACCACCACCGCTATCATTCAAAATCTTTTAAGAATGTATTTGTGTGACCTTCAAATTCAGAAATAAAGAGAGAAATTTTTTCAAGTTTAAGTTGTTTTTCCAAACAAAGCAATCTGCCTGGTGGTCTGGAAAATGCAAAGAGGAAACCATAATGATAGTACCAAGGGATCTTGGCTCTTCTGACACCTTCCTAAAGTTTCAGGAGTATGGTCTCACTCTTCCCTCAAGGCCTAAGTTTCTTCCCCTGAAAAATACAGGAAACCTTAAAAAAAGATCCATTATTGGGTTTAAAATCTTCTGGGGTCTAACGAGATATCCTGATATCTTTTGTCCAGCAATGATGTTAATTCCCAGCTCTGTGTATGTAAAACTGTAATCACTACCCTATTGTCTCACTGGAAATTATGTTGATTTTACTTGGTAAGACTATTTGGGCAAAAAGATCATAAATCCTTACCTAATGTTATTATTTAGTTTTATTTTTAAAGGAGACAATTTTATTTTTCCAAAATCCTCAGACCTGAGCTAAAGTAGACTTTAGAGAAGAGTGGAATTATATTTGCCTAGGGAACCACCTACAAACTCTGGTCCAACTAACTGGGAAAGGCTTCATGTACAGGTCTGTCAACAGTATTTATGTTTGTTTTCCATGATCCAGCCTAGTAATCTTCAGAGAAGATCACCCACAAGTTGGTTACAGGGTGATGATGAGGGTTTTTTGGCCACAAGAATTTTCACAGATTATCCATTGGAACACAGATGGAATGGGACGTGCATTTGTGGAGAGAAGGAAGGCCCACACATACATAAGTTCTAGCATCCTTGAAGTATTGATGTATACTAATTCATCTTATATTGGAGCTAAGGGAAGGGTAGTAGAAACCTACATTTTTCAACAGCCAAGCCAGACTTCTAATTTTGAGAGGTGAGTCAACTTAGAATTTTACATTCCAGGCAAACTGGACTATTGCCTATTTTTTGAAGTTGGCATGCCATCTGCTACCTTTATGTTTTAGGGCAAGCCATCCCTCATGCTAGAAATACACTCCTGCTCCTTTCTCAGTCTTCAGATTCTTTCTCTTTCTTCAAGACTCATTTCAAGTGCTCTCTACTACATGAACTCTTCCCCAATTTCCCTGTCCAAAAGTGATCTCCCATTTACCCCCTATTACATCCTATTTTTGTGATGCTTATCTCTGCGCATATTATATTCTTCTCTCTTTACAACCTTTCCCTCACCAATATACTTAGTCCCCTTCAAGTGACTGTGACCTTTTGGAAAGTAGGGATAATCCTTTTTTTTTTTTTTTTTTGTCTTTAATCCTCAGCTCCAAACACTGTTTCTAGCACATATTTATCATGGTTATTTTTTTAATGACCCCAAATATGTGGAAAGGAGAAGATATGAATTCTCTTTTCCTTTAATGTCTTCTTCAGCTATTAAAATCTTTCCTGTTCTTTCCTGTTGGTTCAAGTTCTTTCTGCTTCCTTTTCCAATGACTCTAGACCGTGTTTACCTTTCTCTGAATACCCATGACACATAGAGTCTATACCATAGAATAAAACATCATTATTGATGCATCATTTGCTACTTACTTACATTAAATCTTGTTCCCCCAACTTAGTTGCAAGCTTCTTGACAGCTAGAACCATGCCATATACTTCTTTGCATTCCATACAATCACTAGCATAATGATAGGACTCAATAAATACATGTTTACTGAATGTATAAGAGTGACTTACCAGCAGCTCCTAGGATAACAAGGAAGACAAGGGCCTTCATAGTGATTCTAGGGATCCAAACACACTGGTGTAACCCCGAGTTCTCTCTCACTGCTTTTAACCCTTTCCACCTGGCACCAAATGCTGCTGAGGAATCAAAATAGTGACTCAGCCACTCATTCACAATTCTCAATTTAATTTTTCACTCTGACCAGGACAGAAGAGACTCCAGTATTGATATTAATCGTCAAGTGTCATTTCTATTGTTCATGGAGCTTTGGGAAATGAGAATAAGAATCCACCTGGGAGGGATTGTCCTCCACATAAAGTTAGGATTAGGCTACAGGTGCAGGAGCACCAGATGTCCTACTTCCCAGACAGAAATCTTTTTACTTATCCACATAACTTCTTGATAATTTGTCATTGAATGGGCTCCCACGATTACTGTGACCTCTGACCACTGTGGTGAGAGGCCCTTTTCTGTCAATCACAATCAAATTTACCTGAAATTAGGACTTCCTTGGTGTGAAAACTGTGATTATATTGATGCTTTCTGTCCATATAACATATATGTAGGATCATAGGACCACTGGTTTAGAGAGGAAAGGGACAATCAAAGATGTCTTGGCCAATTCCTCGTTTTACAATTGAGAAAACTGAGACCAAGAGAGGTTAAATGACTTGTCCAAGATTAGATAGATAGTAACCAGAGAAGACAATATTTGGAACTAGGTTCTATGATTACAAATCCAACATTGTTTTCATTGTACTACCCTATCTCCCACATGCTTGTACATATGATATACATATACACACGTGTATTTCAGAACACACACACACATATATATAATATGTGTGTACATATACATATATATATATATATATATATGAAGCAGAATTGTAGTAGCTCAAAAGAAACGTGAGATGTGCAAATTTAGAGCCATATTCACTCCTAATGTTCACATGGACTATTTGTGCCTGACCTCTGATACAGCCTTCCAAGCTTGCATTGGTCTGGATCAGCCTCAATCGCATATACTACACCTTGACCCTGACACAATGATGTCACTTCAGTCCTCTTTGAGAATGAAGGACAACAACCAACCAACTCTATATAGATATAGGTATAAATATATAGATATGTCTGTGTGTCTATGTATGTAAATATGCATATGTTTATACACAAACACATATACATATAAATACACACATATCAGAACTCTTAAAGAATGAGTCATAGGGTTCACTTTGGCAAATTTGTTACCCCTCTTCCATCTAAGAAATCTGAAAAAAAATCACAATCGTATATGTATGTGTGCATGCATGTATGTATATATGTGTATATGTATGTGTATATAGTCACAAGTTCCATAAAATTATATATAAACATATATTTATATATGTACATATTTGTATGTACATAACACACAATATGATGCCACAACATGGTGCCACATACACAAATATATATGTATATAATAAAATATGGTTTATGTAAATATATGTATAATAAATAGGATCATGGTGTATGTGTGTATATGTATGTGTATACATACATATATACATCAATATACATACACATATTGCTGGAGCCCCTTTGGGACTTAAGGATGATTTTGCAGGTCAGACTGGCTGGGGATGTTAGCATACACACATACACACACCACAGTCACATTTATTATACATATTTATATAAATATTTACATACTCACCTAGATCAGTGATCTCCAATTGATATTAATGTTTCCTCCAATGATACAAATCCCAAGTTGTTTATTTTGATTGACTTGACTCAGGATGGTGCAGTGGCTCAGGTTCTAGATTGGAATGAAATGAGATGCATATAGACCATCTAGCATTTAACAAAACAAGGTTTACTTAACAAATGCTCAGAAAAGACATTCAGCAAGGGTGTAGCACTGATTTAGTTGGGTGCTTTGCCACAATGGTGCAGCCTGTAAGCAGATTACATAAAACCTGAGTCTCCAAGTCTACCTGTTCTATCTAGGCCTTTCTACCTAGATGACCAGGAAGCTCATTGGAATAATTGAAGCCCAAGACCCCCGGACTGATGAAGTCTTCACAAAGGTTTCACTGCTGTTTGTTGTTGTTGTTGGTGGTGGGGTAGGGGTGGGAAAGAGAAACAAGTACCATAGCCTATATGGGATAGATGTTTCTCTGACCACCTTGTTCACAGACACCCATCCTGGACATGCCCTCTCATAAGTTCATCCCAGGGGTACACTTTCAAGGCATAGAACACTAAGGCCCCAAAATAATTTAAGAAGGAGAATCACTCAGAGGGAAAATGGAAAAATGCATGGTGAGCATGAGAAGGTCACAACACATAACAAATAGAAGAAGAACGAACATAAAGAAGGTCACTAAGCAGAAGTATGATTGAAAAAGGAGTCACATTGGTCATGAAGTGAGAGTGAGTAATAACTGGGATAACTGCTGGATAGCCCATGTTGTGATACAATGATATCCCTGAGATAAGATATACATACATACATATATATCCACATAAACACATATACACACATATATACATATATACATAATATATATATATGTATATGTATGTATATCTATCTCTATCCATCTATTCATCTATCTCTCTATCATTTATCTACCTGTCTACCTGTCTGTCTATCTGTCTACAAGTCATTCTGTCTGTATCTGTTTATCTATCTATCTATCTATCTATCTATCTATCTATCTATCTATCTACCAAAGAGAGTTTTCTGACACTTGGGAAGGAGGCAGGTTTTTTTTTTAAAGGAGTATTAATTTAGTAGATGCTAAGATTCAGGAAAGTCACAGGACTCTCAGTCAGTCAGGGTAGAGGAGGGAAGGTCCACTAGACCCAGAAAGGGACTTTGGGTCTAGTGATACTAGAGATTTCTTGTCTGAGCTGGCCAAGGGACCTTGGCAGTGAGAACATGTGGATTTTAAGGACTGTTTAGAGGCCTCAAGTTCAAGGAATGCTAAGAGCCATCTCACAGCCTTGGCTCTATATTAACTATGTGCCCTTTAGTTGCCTATCTGTATAGAGTTCATCCCTTAAAAACCATTGTCTGTGCTCAGCTGATTTAATTAATTAGTTCATATTCATTAACCATTTATTTTAAAAAAAACTATTGAAATTTAAAACTGCACTAAGACTTTTTGAATACCAGATATTTGAAGACATCTAGCATGCCAGTCCTAAGGCTTCACTTCTCCATGCCAAATATCCCTGGCTCTTTCAAACTTAGATGTGTATGCATTTCATCTGTAAAATGGGAGTAAACACAGCTACAGTAACTATGAGGTTACTATGGGGATCCGTAAGATAACCTATGTAAAACCCTAAAGCACTATAAATATCAGTCATTATTGTTATTATTTTTATCATCATTTTTGAAGGAGTTCAGATAGGGAAAGTCACTGTCCTGCTATTATTCTCTTGGATTGGCTGATCTGCATACTATCACAAAGTAGATCAAACAAACAAACAAACAAATTGCATTCTGTAATGGAATGAAAACACTGAGATGTGAGCCCGTCTTCTGTAGGGCTCACCAAAAGCCTCTTTAGGACACTACTAATGGCCGAAGGGACAATTGAGATGATATGTACCTCGTTCTGGTCCTGCCTCTTGTTGATTTCCTCCTCTAGATCTCTGTTTTGGAAGTTTTCCATTGTAGTTTGGAGATGATGAGTATTTCATATGGTGACATATATAAAAATGCTATTCTTAAATCTGGGACACTTTTTTATATCATATTCCCCTAGACTATATTTTCAACTTCATTGCTATACCTCGTAATAATATAGGCTAAATAGTATTGTTCTAGATTTATGTGACATAAATTCTCATAGTTAATTGGGAGTTCTCAAGTCATGTCTAGATAGGAATCTTCCATATGATGTCTTGAGCAAGTGGGCTTAATGTGGAGACTTTTAGTGATGGGGAACCCATTACCTCTTGAACCATCCCATCCCATCCCACTTTCAAAATGGCTCAAGCTGATGTGGAATTTTTCTTTATACTGAGCAGAAATCTTGTATTCCACCCGTAGTATCTAGTTAGATCTCCTGAGTACAAATATAAGATACATTTACTCATTAGCAGGACAACTCTTGGGGAAGGAAAGAAATAAGCATTTATTAAATGCCTACTGTATTCCAGGTATGAGCAGCTAGGTGATACAGTGCACGGAGGTACTGGAGTCAGGAAGACCTGAGTTCAAATCCAGCCTCAGACACTTACTAGCTATGTGACCCAAGTCACTTAATCCTATTTGCCTCAGTTTCCTCATCTATAAAATGAGCTGGAGAAGAAAATGACAAATAATTCCAAATATCTTTATCAAGAAAATTTCACATGCAGTCATGGATTGTTGGACACTGCTGAAATGACCGAACAACAAATATTCCAGGTACTGGGCTAAGAGCTTTACAAACATTATCTTATGCAATGATCACCACAGCCCTGCAAGTTATTATTGTCCTTATTTTATAGTTGAGGGAACTGAGTCAGTCAGAGGTTAATGACTTGCCCAGGGTCACACAGCTGGTAAGCGTCCAAGGCCAGATTTGAGTTCTCATCTTCCTGCTGCCTCCATGTGGAAGTAGTTGACGTGTTCAAATCCTGGTTCCATACTAACTAACTAAATGACTCTGAGCAAGTTACATAACCATTCTGAATTTCAGTTTCCCCTGCTATAGACTGGGATCAATAATACTAGTAACACCTATCTCACAAGGTTGTGGTGATCAAGTATGTACTTTGTAAAAACAAATGCTATAAATTGTTCAGATATTTGCATGAAAAATTTGAGTGAAGCCATCATGTTCCCCCTCATACCTGCTTGAGTTTAAACATTTCTACTTGCTTCAACATGTTCTTGTATCATAAGCTTTCAAATACCTTCAACTTATCTATCATATGCCCCAGATTATCAGTGTTTGTATTTAATGAAATTGTGTTTGTCATTGATCTTTCCCAGAAAGTTAGAGGGGTGGGGAAGGGTGTTCTCATGAGACCATGGAGGATTCTGCACCTGGAGGAAAAGTGGCCTTGGATCCAAAGAATTGCTCCCACACGTGTAGAGGAGATCTTGAGGCTGGGTTGGGGGAATAAACCACTTCGTCTATCCCCCCACCCCCCACTCTTTTCCTCCCTTGTTCCCTTCTTTCCTTCCACCTTCCCTTTTCCCTCCCTGCCCCCTTCCTAATGCCTTTGACTTTGGTAGATCTGTTTTCTTGTTTTTAACCCTACCCACTGGCTCATCGGGATGTGCTATTCTTTTCTGTCTTCTGTAAGGCAGGAAAGAGGAATAAACATTTGTATAGTGCTTACTACATGCCAGTACTGTGTTAAATGCTTTACAAATATTATTTGTATTATTACAAATGTTATTCATTCTGCTATATTTATATTATTATAAATATGACAAATATTATTTTATTTGATCCTCACAATGGTCTTGGGAGGTAACCTTCCCATTAATAAACCCATAAATATTCAAGATTTAGCAGGGAACTTATATTAAAAAATGACATATTAATAACAGTAATAATCTTTATAGAACACTTACTATGTGCCAGGTACTATGTTAAATGCTTGACATTCTTATCTCATCTGATCTTACCTGTGAGGTAAGTGCTATTATTGTCCCCATTTTACAGATGAGGAAAGTGAGGCAGGCAGAGGTTAAGTGACTTGTCCAGGGCCACAAAGCTACCAAGTGTCAGAGACTTGATTTGAACTCAGGTCTTCCAGAGTACAGGCTCAGTGCTCAATGTGCTAAAGAAATAGTAATAGCTCATTATTTGTGTAGTACTTAATGGATTAAAAATGCATTCACGTGTCTTATCTCACTTGACCCTTACAACTGTGTTAGGTAGTGGTGGCAGTGGTGGTAGTGATGATATTATTATCCTTATTTTCAAAGTGAGGGAACTGAGGCATAGAGAGGTTAGAGGACTTGCCTGGGATCACAGAGATATTAAGAGAAAGAAGAAGAATTAAGGAATAGCTTTCCTGCTTGCTTCTTGTTCTCCTCACTAAATTGATTCTCTTACACAAACCACACAACAAAAACAAAATACTGGTTCTCTAAATTGATCTGGAGATAAAGCAAGCAAGTTTACATTCTAGCCCTTAGGTAGACTTGGTCGGGTGGTACCCCAGGTTTGGCTAAATCATCAGTTCATGCCCTTACCTTCCTCTTACTACTAATTTATCCTGGATCCCTCGGACTTTACAGTTTTATCTCAAGGGCTTTCCCCACACTCCTCTCCCTTCCTTTCTTTGGGCAAGATTGGGCTGAATATATATGTTGGAAACTCCAAAGGAGGAAATAACAATTATTCATCTGTTAAAGGTTGCAATGGTTGCTTAAGCTCTGAAGGCAATAATATCAGGTAACCACTTTGGAGATTTACAACAAATTGGAATCACGGACCCTTTATTTAGGATATTTTTTCTTCCCTGAAGGTTAGGAAATGGCTCTTTTGTAATATTCAACTAAGAATTTTCTACCTAGTTAGATTTCTTGCCAAAGACCTAGAGATAAAGGAGTTATTTAAATTCAATAACAAAAAATGGAAAAAACCCTGATATATGTGGAAGATACACTAGGCGATACAGATGTGATCTTTCTCTGACTCTAGACCTCATGCACGGAGGACCAAGATACAATCTCAGCCTTTCTCAATGATATGTGTAGATCAGGCTTCTACCCAGAAGTATCCTCTGGGAACAACAGAATTTGGTTTCTGTCTCTTAAGTTCCC